AGGGAACTGGTGGTAACCAACCTGGATTCACCAAGGGCAAGTTATGCCTGATAAACTTGGTGGCCTTTTATGATGGAGTTACAGCGTCAGTGGATAAAGGCAGGGTAAACTATGTCATCTACCTGGTCTTGTGCAGAGCATTTGACACTATCCCACAGGACATCCTGTTCCCTCCCTCCCACTCCACCCCCCAAAAAAAAAGAGAAAGAGAGAGAAAAAGATTTGATAGATGGACTTCTCACTGCATAAGGAATTGCACTCAGAGAGTTGTGGTAAATGGCTCAATGTCCAAGTGAAGGCTGGTGACATGTGGTATCCCTCAGGGATCAGTGCTGGGACTAGTGTTATTTAGCACCTTTTTAGGTGACATGGACAGTGGGATCAAATGAGCTCTCAGCAAGTTTGCAGATGACATCATGCTGAGTGTTGCAGTTGACACGCCAAACGGGAAAGGATGCCCTCTAGAGGGACCTGGAAAGGCTTGAGAGGTGGGCCCACACCAACCCCATGAAGTTCAACAAGGCCAAGTGCAAGGTCTTGCACCTGGGTCAGGGCAATCCCAAGCATAAATACAGGTTAGGCAGAGAATGGCCTGGGAGCAGCCCTGAGGAGAAGGATTTGGGAGTGTTGGCTGATGAAAGATTCAATGTGAGCCACCAACATGCACTTGCAGCCCAGAAGGCTAGTTGTACCCTGGGCTGCATCAAGAGAAGCATGACCAACAGAACAAGGGAGGTGATTTTTCCCCTCTGCCCTGCTCTTGTGAGATCCCACCTGGATTGCTGTGTCCTGTTCTGGAGCCCCTAACACAAGAATGACATTGAAGTATTGGAGCAGGTCCAGAGGAAGGCTATGAAGGTGATCAGAGGGCTGGAGCACCTCTCCTTTGGGGACAGTCAGAGAGCTGGGGCTCTTCAACCTGAAGAGAAGGCTCTGAGGAAACCTTATAGCAGCCTTCCAGTACTTGAAGGGAGCCTACTGGAAAGCGGGGAAGGGACTTTTTATAAGTGCATGTAATGACAGGATGAGGGGAAATGACTTTAAACTGGAATAGGGTAGATTTAGACTAGCTATTAGGAAGAAATTCTTTACTGTGAGGGTCGCACTGGAACAGATTGCCCAGAGAGGTTGTGGGCGTCCCCTCCCTGGAGGCATTCAAAGAGGTACTCGATGGGGCTTTGAGCAACCTGGTCAAGAGGGAAATGGACCTGCCTAAAGCAGTCCATCAGTGTGCAGAAATTGTATGCCTGCTGGTTATTGTATTATAAGTTATTGAAGCTCAGATTTTAAAATATGTAGAGGCAAAAGGAAGGAAGGTAAACTGTTCTAACTTTTATATGGGAATTGAGGGGAATTGTCTCGGTTGTTACAACTTACACAGTTGGAATGTCGCAAATACCTTAAGGTTGTAAAACGCTTTGCTTACACACTCCAGAGAAGAATGTGTCAGGAACCCAGTGGAGTCAAATACCTCAATAAATGTAGTAAGTCTGACTCTGCATCCTTATCACAAAAAAACATTTGTGCATGGTTGCATGCTTTGATCTCACATCTTGATTTGTAAACTAGCAAATGTCTTCTCTGATAAAGGAAGTTAATAACTATTACTGTTAGTTTGCTTATGGAAGAATAACTATATAAATAGCAATACACGATATGAAGAAAAAATAAATAAATAAAAGCTATTAATTCCAGCTGAGTATATAAGATTTTATCTGTGTTGAAATTTTGCAGTTCTCATCTTTAGCTACCAGCAGAATTTTTAATGTTTGATCCAGAAAATGGCATATTGAGTTATAAACATAGTGCTATTAGAGTATTTCATTAGTATCTGACAGGAAAAAGAACAATATTCTAAACTACTGAGAATATCTGCACAGTCACACAGTTTTATTTTTCACTTTGCCAGCACTTCTTTGTCTGGGAAAAAACAAATGCAGAGGTATTGTATAGGTAATGACAGCTGAGCTTTTATATTATCAGTCTTTCCTATTAGCTATGCTTTTCTATGAAACTGTTCCTTTTGCAAATACAAAAAATATGTAACTATAAATCTTCAAAAGTTGCATGCCGTTTTTCCTTGTCATTTCTATATTAAAAATTAGTGGAAAGAATTAGTGGAAAGAAATTTGTAAGTGCAGTGTTTTATGTTTCGTTCAAATTCAGATTCGTAGTGAGTTTCCAGATATTGGTTTAAACCTTCATGCAACCACATCTGACTTGCACATGTGTTTCTTTAAAATCTGGGAAAGAGTAGAATCTAAGAAATGTAAGTTTGATGCATTTGGTCTGTTAGCAAAAATTCTCAGCTGTTTCCAGTGTTCTTTTGTGGACAGTAAGTAGTGAGAAGAAGTGAGAGTAAACATTTTGTACACATACAAACTTAGAAACACAACTTAGCTCATGTGACTCTTCATCTTTCTACTCTGTACTCCCCTTTGATTTAATTGTAAGTAAATGAAACTTGTTGGTAGTTGGCACAGATTCTTTGAGTGTTATGCGGGAAATAAATTGATACATTTAATTACTGATTTCAAGATGGAATTAAGATACTTAACATCTCCTTAATATTTAGGAACTATGAGAATACCTTATTCTCTTACCCTCTAGATGCTAGTGTTTAATAATTTTTATTTCCTTCTATCATTAAAAAAAAAAAATCAGCTTAACTTAGAGGGGTCAGTGATCCTTGTGAGTCTCTTCCAGCTCAGGATATTCTGTGATTCTCTGTTTATGAAGTGTTGCTTGCTATACTATGCAATATATTTCATGTCACTAACTGAAAAGAGTTAAGCATTTAGAACAACAGGAACCAGTATTCACTGTGACAGATACGATATGATCTCAGATAAGAAAATAGTATACATCATATTTTGCACTTCTACTTTCACAGTTCAATGGAGGAATCCATTTTCAGATTGGTTTGAGTACCATTGATGTTCAGATATCTCCATAAAAGAATATCCACAGAGGGCTTAGGAAATGTGGCTCCATTTAGCACATGTTGCTTAATCAAATCTCTAGTATATTTTCTGTTCTTTTGTATTTTTTGTTCTTTTTCATCTTAGAATCATAGAATTGATTAGGTTGGAAAAGGCCTTAAAGATCATCAAGTCCAAGCACAACCTTACCATACTACCCTAATTCTAACAACTCTCCTCTAAATCATGTCCCTGGATACCCCATCCAGATGGTTTTTAAACACGTTCAGAGAGGGTGACTCAACCAGCTCCCTGGGGACCCTATCCAGTGCTTAATGACCCTTACTGTAACTAAGTTCTTGATATCTAACCTAAACCTCCCCTGGCACAACTTGTGCTCATTTCCCTTCATCCTGTCACCTGTGAGAAGAGACCAACCCCATTCCCTCTGCAATCGCCTTTCAGGTATTTGAAGTGATCGTAGTATCATAGAATGGCCTGGGTTGAAAAGGACCACAATGATCATCTAGTTTCAACCCCCCCCTAGTATGTGCAGGCTCGCCAACCACTAGACCAGTCTTCCAGAGCTACATCCAGCTTGGTCTTGAATGCCTCCAGAAATGGGACATCCATAACCTCCTTGGGCAACCTGTTCCAGTGCTTCACCACCCTCTGAGTGAAAAACGTCCTAATATCTCATCTAAACATCCCCTGTCTTAGTTTAAAACCATTCCCCATTGTCCTATCACTATCCACCATCGTAAATAATAATAAATAATATTTAAATAATATTAGGTCCAGTCTAGACCTTTCTTACATTTTTCTAGACATGCAAGATAGACATTGAAGTGGCCAGGTAAGGACAAAGCTTGTCTATAGCTAGCATAGCTAAATAACCATCATTGCATTGCAAAGAATAATATCATAGCCTGGTCTAGTTAAAAAGAGGAGGACAGAGCGAACTGTATTAATAGAATCCCCAGTTACAGTGTGACTAGAATCCCCGCTTGCAGTGTGGGCAGTAGTAGAAAGTTTACCTCCAAAGCACAATAGAAATGTGCAAGACATTTAGTATAACGTTGTTTGCCACTATATTCAACTCAGTAAGCAGAATATCAACAACGTGTATTGAGTTGCAGATGATACTACACATAAATCTTGATTCCGTAGAATGCTCATTACCTCCAGGGTTTTTCATTGTTAAGAACATATGTTTTTAAAACATGTTGTAATGTGCTTTATTTCTATCACAGTCAAGCCTGAAATTTCAAGATGCAAGGACCACATAATGAATAATTCTAAAGTCTCAGTTGATTTTAATGGGAATGAAAGGAGTTTACATGTTGCAGGGCACTGACATTTTTCATAAAACGTGTTCATATTCAGAAATATGTGCCATTCATATGACTATTATGAAATTTTATAACTTGAATGCCATAAAAATAAGCACAAAGCATGAGATAGTCCTTTCATATTTTCCTCCTGTGTTCATTTCTTTTAGTGCTGGAGTCGGCAGGACTGGCTGTTTCATTGTGATAGATGCCATGTTAGAGAGAATAAAGCATGAAAAGACTGTAGATATTTATGGCCACGTAACTCTAATGAGAGCTCAGAGGAATTACATGGTTCAAACAGAGGACCAATACATCTTTATCCATGATGCACTGCTGGAAGCAGTGACATGTGGAAATACCGAAGTGCCAGCCAGAAACCTGTATGCATATATTCAGAAGCTGACACAGATAGAAACAGGAGAGAATGTCACAGGAATGGAACTGGAATTTAAGGTACTGGAATCTTATGCTGTGGGAAACCAACATCAAACTGTGTAACTATTAATGCTGCTATGTCCTTCACCAACTGTATTCAGCAATTGGAAGCTAGAACATTTTCCAGCTAAAATTTTTAAATTGGGAAGATAGTCCCTTGTAAAATGTGAAGTTCTATCTTCAGTTAGAGTTCAGACAGTAATTGTTCAATTTTAAGCATATTCTTCTTTATTGTTTGAATAGCTTGAAACATATATTTTGTAATGGTTTAAAACTCAAATTTGTCCATATGGATTAATGATTATAAGGTGTTAAAACTATTATAAAATGCTAGAGGGTGCTTCACAAATATTTAGATAATACTACAGAATATGGTAAAATAAAACATGAAATGGTTCATACAATAAACATATATCATCGGACTTGATAATGGCATTTATTTTTGTTATATATGATTTTAATTATTTAGTTCATTTATTTTGCACAGCGTCTTGCTAGTTCTAAGGCTCACACTTCAAGATTCATCAGTGCCAATCTTCCTTGTAATAAATTCAAGAATCGCCTTGTCAATATTATGCCATATGAGTCTACAAGAGTATGCTTGCAGCCGATCCGAGGAGTGGAAGGGTCTGATTATATTAATGCCAGTTTTGTCGATGGATACAGGTATTAATGTTGTGTTCTCTGGGGTACTGTTTTTAAATTTTACAAAGTGTGTAGCGGTGTTGAAAATAACAAAATTTAGTATTGAAATTCAATATTTTTAATATCTGCACATATTCTGTTTTTTTGTTTGTTTGTTTAAATATTATTAATGTTTTTAAATTTCCACCCATACAATTCAGGGTAATTGTATGGGCGTAATATTGTGTAAAATATTACACAATTGTAATTGTGCAATATGCAGCCAGTTTTATTTACCTTCAAACCATTCATTTTTACACACTGAAACTTATTAAGATTTTGGTCACATTCATGATCTGCAACTTCTATTTCTTCACAACTATTCTGCTAAATATGGATGTAAAAAAACATACTAATAATAACATACAGGAGATAAAAATATTCTTCTTACCTTACTTTTTTAATAACAGACAACAAAAAGCTTACATAGCTACACAGGGTCCTTTGGCAGAAACAACTGAAGATTTCTGGAGGATGCTGTGGGAACATAATTCTACGATTGTGGTCATGCTTACTAAGTTACGAGAAATGGGCAGAGTAAGTTACTGCTATAATATTATTTTACTGAAATATTTGTTATTATTATTATTCTTTCTTACTAAAATATTTCATTATTATGAGAATGTCAAAGGATAAAGATGCGAATTTAGGTTCTTTCCCTACTTGGAAATAAGTGGCTCTGATGGTCACCAGATATAAGTTTTTCTAATGTATAGATGTGTTAGAGACGAGCTAGACATTGTATTTTCTTGTGGGACACAGATTCAGCAACTCAGTTTGCAAGTTAATATTCCAACAAAAGTCTGCTGAATAATTCTAATTTGGAAATATATTTTGCCTCATCTGTTTAAATATTTTCATGTCAAAAAAAAGTGGAGTATTTTTAACAGCTGAATGGCTGAATGTTTTCTGTGTGCTCTTTGCGCTGGACTTTGAAGTTTCAGCTGTCTGCTTACAGTCCTAAACTCATTCAGATTTCTACTTTAACTATTGGAAAGAAAGAAGCAGTTTCCTATCTGGACAGGATTACTTCAAGATGAAGCTGGTATGTATTAAGTGAAATATGAATCCCCATGTTTTTGGGGAGTGGAGATGATCCAGGGACTTCGGATTTAGAGATGAAAAATTTTGAATGAGGCCTGGGAGATTTACTTCAACAGAGAATAAGGACTAAAAATAAAAGTGGTGTCAAGATTTAAATTCCATTCTCTTTTGGCAGTCAGGCTTGGGATAGTGCTTGTAACATTAAGTAACAGAACTGAGCAGATGTATAAAGGAATACAGAGGTACAGTGACAAGAGCAAACCTCTATGCAGTTCAGTATTGATGATAATCTTTCAATTCTATGAATGGAACTTCATGTTCACAGTAAGATGAACAGTTAATGTTCTTGTCACTAATAGCATTTTGCATCCGTGTTATACTTACCAAGCAAGAATCATATTAGGGTATTTGTCTGGAGTAACAGAATGTATATTTTGTTTTGCTATGTTGTAGGAAAAATGCCATCAGTATTGGCCTGCAGAGCGTTCAGCCAGATATCAGTATTTTGTGGTAGATCCAATGGCAGAGTACAACATGCCACAGTATATTCTAAGGGAATTCAAAGTTACAGATGCAAGGGTAAGTTGCAACAGCATTGCTCTTTCACATAATTTTTAAAGAGTATTTAAACTCCTTTTTCTCTTTCTCTATAAGTAAAAATCTCTAAAGAACTGCTTTCCACAATTAAATAAAAAGTATATTTATTATTTAAATATACACTATATTTAGATTTATTTACTTCATTACACATGAATAATATCTTTAAGGAAAACTGACTTCATTCAGATCTAGTATCTTAGCAGCACAGCTTTGTAAAGTTCTGAATAGCTATTTGGTTAAAGCACATTAGATAATTTGAAGGCCATTTTCTCTTTCTCATCATTTCCCTGCTGATCTTTCTGGGGGAGAATTTTTGTCACTTGCAGCTGTAAATATGTTGTTTTGCACACCCTCTAGGTTGAGAGAGTGTGAAGGTTAATACAGTGAAATTTAAAAACTGCAGAGCAAATAGCATTCACAAGAAAAGCTTGACAAGCTTTGCACATTATAATTTGATTTTTGGCATAGCTTATTTTCAGCACTCTTGAATATCTGCAGAATAGATATGTGCAGCTGTGACCCTAGCATCCTCATTTTCATACTACATTTCTTATCTGAATTCCTGAGTCTGAAACTGAACAGTGATATATGTAGTAAGATTAAATGCACATAAACTTTTAATATGTATTTGGTATTTCTCAAACTTTTGATTTCTAGCACTTTACTCTGCATGGCAGGAAAAATTACTGGCAACCTTCATTTCAATATGCGCTATAGAATGCTGTTTGTTCAAGCAGAATAGCTGGTTGCACTGTCCACTGTATGAGTGATTACTTGGAGTTGCCAGTCATCTTCCAAAATATCAATTTTTCTCGTGGTTAGCTGAAGTGCTACATTTAATGTTAGCTTCCAGCAAAATTAGATATTACTGACACTCAGCTAGATGATGGTCACTAACCATGCCAGTATATGAACATTTTAATTTCTAAAGTGATATTAAATATTTTTAAAAGAAACTGTAGATACAGTTTGAATCTGATTTTCATTCTAATTGAAATGTAGTAAGATCACATGAACTGTATCTTTTGTAACCTCTCTGTGCTTAGCAGAATTTGAGAATAGGATCCTAACACGAGTTTTTAACCACACTAAACAAAAGAACTTTTCACAATGACAGTACTGATAGTCTTTGCAGTCTATTAAAAATCTGTTTTATCTCAAGCTGAAAAAAAAGTCTTACACGACATAGTTCGCTCAGCTCAGAGCATTAAATGGCAATGATAACAAAAAACCACAGATATAGCTGAAGGAAAATGTCTGAAAAACATGTGTTTTAGAAAAGTTCATTCAGGATTTCATAATAAAATACTATAAGAAATCTGTTTATTTGTAGCCAGCAAACAATTAAAATGTTAATGGTTAAGGATTAAATATCTTAATTTGCCAGTTATTTTTTAATTGATCCTATTATTTATGCACCTTAATTTTAAACATTGCCAACCATATGTAGGCAGATTGGCTGGAAAGCTGCATGGAGGAAAAGAATCTGGAAGTGTTGGTTGAAGCTCAACTAAACATGAGTCAGCAGTGCTCAGGAGGCCAAGAAGGCCACTAGTATCCTGGCCTACATCTGCAATAGTGTAGCCAGCAGGCGCAGGGAGGCGAACATCCCCCTATTTTCAGCCCTAACAAGGCTGCACTGTGAATACTGTGTCCAGTTTTGGGCCCCTCATTACAAGAAAGACATTGAGGCATTGTGTCCAGCGAAGGTCAACAAAGCTGATGAGGGATCTGGAGCTGGCTTATAATGACTGTTTGAGGGAACTGGGATTGTTTGGTCTGGAGAAAAGGAGAGCTTATAGCTCTCTACACCTACCTGGAAGGAGTTGGGAATTGGCATCTTCTCCTGCATGATAGGATGTGAGGGAGTGGCTTCAAGTTGCTCCAGGAAAGGTTCATATAGGATATTAGAATGAATTTGTTCTCTAAAAGAGTGGTCAGGCACTGGAATGTGTTGCCCAAGGAACTGGTGAAGTTAATGTCCGCAGAGGTGTTTAAGGAGAGGTAGATGTTTTACTTGGGGATGTGGTTTAATGGGCAACATTGGTAGTAGGTGAATGGTTGGACTGGATCATCGTAGATGTTTTTTGCAACCTTAATGATTCCATGATTCTATAGTCTTGATACAATATATAATTGTGTATTATTGTTTCTCGAATTTAAAACATCTCTATCTTAATGGTCTTAGTTTTGTTGAGTAACTCCCTGGGAAGCTTTCAAGGCCATCTTAAATTTTCTAAATGTGCTTGAAAACTATAGCTTCCTTTAACTTTAGTGGAAGAAGTGAGAACTACTTTTCAAAATGTGCACTGTAATTTTCATGCCTTTATGGCTGTTCTCTACAATAATTAAGACCATCTAACTAAATTGTTTTATTCAAAGGAGAATAAATATTGCAGCGATTATAACTCTCTTATTTCCAATTTGATCCATGCTGTTAGTTACCAATAGTACTCTGGCAGACCTGAGTTGGCCAATTATTCCCAAGACAACGAAGGAGGACACTGCCTTTGTGGGGAGCAGCAGCAAATTTTTGGCCTGGGACTCCCTGTTATCTCTGAAACTGAGCTGTGAATTGTTGTGATGTGAAATTGACCTCTGTAACTGATTCAATCTACTGCTTCTGTCTTTTTTATACTCACTTTCTCTGTAAACTCCAAAGGTCAATATGATGAGACAGTCTCATTTAAATCTAGACTATTAGTAATGAATGTAAGACGATATTATAAACTCTACAGACTCATAAAAAGACAATTGCACATCCCTGGAGAGAAGCAGGAAGAAATCAAAATAGCTAGCTGGGAAACATTGTGTTATTTTAAGAGCCTTGTGATTCATACAGGGATCTGAAAATTTGTATGTTGTTTTGTTAGTACTTCTTGCCCTGTGTATGCAAACCTTTACAATTTCTGAAGGGAAATATTTTAATTAAAATTGACATTTGTATTTGGACTGTTACTGCAAGCATCTCATTAAAAGACAGCAGCACTTTTTATAATGTCAGTGGCAGAGGGAACAAAGAAACTGAAGGTAGGTTCCCCATATGCTGTAATGCTAATCTAACATTAGACTCACTACCTTTACTTCTGTGTTCATTAAATAGTATTAAATAGCAAAAGTTATTCCCACTGAAACTTAATGAGACCAGTTTTCAAAGATTTCCACTAGGCTACTGAGTTACTTCTATCTTGAAACAAGTAAAAATACACTGATTTAGACACACTTGAAATAAAAAATACTTGCCATCAAAACTATTTCTCACATAGCAATTTGTCTTTCCAGTGATAACCTAGACTTAAATAAAATGGCACATTTCTTGCTTTTACCCCTTAAAAAGTTACTCTTATCCAAGCTTAATTCCTGTGTCAGAAATCTCTGAACAGTTTCCATCCCTTAAAGTCACAGAATCATAGAAATATTTGAGTTGGAAGGGACCTTAAAGGTCATCTAATCCAACTCCCCTGCAATGAACAGGGACATCTACAGCTAGATCGGGTTGCTCATGTTCCCTTTAGATATTGAAAGGCTGCTATCAGATCACCTCCGAGCCTTCTCTTCTCCAGGCTGAACAGCCCTAGTTCTTTCAGCCTGTTTTCACAGGGGAGATGTTCCATGCCTTGGATCATTTTTATAGCCCTCTGGTCACAATACAACAATCTATGTCTCTCCTGTACTGAGGATTCCACATCTGGGTGCAGTACTCCAGGTGAGGTCTCACCAGCACAGAGCAGATGGGCAGGACCTCCCTTGACCTGCTGGCCACACTTCTTTTGATGCAGCCCAGGATATGTTTTGCTTTCTGAGCTGCAAGGACACTTTGCTGGTTTTTCCAGTTTACTATCCACCACTGTCCCCAAGTTCTTTTTGTCAGGATAGCAACTTTCATGCCTCAGTCTTTTCATCCCCCACCGATCTCCATCTGTGGTTGACCACAACTCTCTGGGTACAATCTTACAACTAGTTCCTCATCCATCAAATGGTCCACCCATAAAATCCACATATTTCCAATTTGGAGTTAAGAATTTTATGAGGGACAGTGTCAAAGGTCTTACTAACGTCCAGATGGATGACACTAGTGTTTCTTCCCTTGCTGCATTTACACCATCATAGAAGGCCTCTAGGTTGATCAGGCAGGACCTGCCATGCTAGTTAAATCTTATCACCTCCCTCTCTTCTGTGTGCCTTACTCTAGCTTCCATAAGGATCTGTTCCATGATCATCCCTATCACAGAGGTGTAGCTGACAGGTTGATAGTTCTTAGAAATTGATGCAACATTGCCTTTTTTCCAGACCAGGAACTTCACCTGACCACTATGACTTTTCAGATATCATTGAGAGTGGCTTGGCAACTACATCAGCCAATTCCGTCACAACTCTGGAATGCATCTTGTTGGGACCCATAGACTTATAGGTATAGTTGCAAACCTGATCTTCACTTGTACTGGGATGGACTTAGCTCACCACTAGTCCACACCTTCTGACCCATCCAGTTGAGGGGTGTATGAAGAGCAGTTGCCAAAAAAGGCTGAGGCATGAAAGTTGTTATCCTTGCACATTGTTACCAGCTTGCCCATATTGCTCACTAGAAGGGGTATGCCTTCTTCAGCTTTTGTCTTCTGGTTGATACACTTATTGAAAACTTTGTTTTCCTTTCTTGCACCTCTTGCCCAGCCCAGTTCCAGCTGGCACTAGCCTTTGTGAACTCATATCTACACAGTCTAGCAACATCTCTATACTCACTCCTGCCACGACGCTTGTCCCTGCTTCCACTGCCTGTGCATTTTCTTCTTGCTCTCCAGTTTGACCAGCAGATCTGTTCAACCACGCTGGTCTCTTGCCTTCCTTTTCCAGCTTCCTGCACCTGGGGATATGCCTGCTTTGCTTCACTCCCTTGTCCTTGAGGACAGTTTCCCAGTAGGTTTAATTGACCAATTCCACAAGAAGCTGGAAGCTGGCTCTCTTAAAATTTAGTGTTTCAATTTTACTGGCCGAGTAGCTGCAAGCAAATCAGACTTAAAGTTTTGTTTCTTTACTCTGGGGAAATGGGAGGTAATTTGGGGAGGAATCAACCTATTGCTTTTTCTTCTTGATTACTTAATATTGTTTGTCTTTAGCTGTCTGGAAGATGCAATTTCATTACTTCTTCTTGAGGGAAAATGGCATTACAACAGTCACCGTGAGAGAAATTTGTATTAACAAAATGCCATTTCTAATGCAAAATATTTTTTGTTACTTGTATTGATATCTACTAGAAATAAAATTGGCTTAACATTTTTGAATAAATACTCTTTTATTTAAGTGACCAAAACCATTCCACAGAAACAGACTGTCAGTTGTCATACTAGTCTAGTAAGAATCTAAGAGAGTGTGTTCCTTTCTTGAAGTGGTGGCTGGTACATACGGTCATTTTGTTTTTCTTATTCAGCTGAGACATGGGAAACAAAAATCCATGGTACCAGAGGAAACATAAAAATAAAGTATTATTTTTTCCTCTGGTTATTTTTAAAATGACTTCTATTTTGTTTCAAAGGTCTGTAGTAGAGTGGTTGTGGTCGAGAAGAAAAAAAAAAAAAAAGGGATTGTTCTTGCCTCCAGCATAACTTGTTGCTTTTTGTGAGATCTCCACATTTCAATTTTTTATGAGATTCACTTGGTAGACCATTTTGAAGACATAGCAGGGTCAATGCTTAGTAAATAATAACATGTCCAGAGGCACTGGTTTACATCAGTAGTTCAATTTATGTCCATGCTTTCAAATACTTCAGTTATATCAATTCAGCATCAAAACTGTACAGAACAGTGTTTGTAAATTGAAAACTCATTTACTTCATCCATTTGCTATGTGCATTTCTTGACTGCTTCCATCTTAAGTAGGTATGAAGCAAAAATCTGAGTTTGTGGTGGTCTTTAGTACTTCTTTTGACATTTTAATAGATATGATGAAGCTGTAGCATTATCTGGTAATCCTGTTAGTATTCCTAACCAAGGAGAATGAAAAGCTTCAGCTGACATTTCAAGAGAGGAAGTGTTTTTTTCTACATTTTTACTGAGTCTGAATTCATAGTGAATGAAATTACAATGATTCAAAAGGATGTTTATGGTTTGTTAAACAACTGATATCTCTTGATCCTCTTCCAGACAAATGTGCACCTCACAAAAAAAGCTTTGTTTTATTAAAGACATTCTTTGCAAACAAGACAATGACTAAACATCTCTTATTAGTGAAGATATTTCTGTCATTCAGTAGAGCATATCTACAAAATATAGAGTCAGGTTAGATGACCTTATTCTACCTTTTCCTTCCCTTCCCTTCCCTTCCCTTCCCTTCCCTTCCCTTCCCTTCCCTTCCCTTCCCTTCCCTTCCCTTCCCTTCCCTTTCCTTTCCTTTCCTTTCCTTTCCTTTCCTTTTCTTTTCTTTTCTTTCTTTTTTTTTTTTTCTTTTTCTTTAGAATAAATTTGCAATTGAAGGGATTTGAAACATAAATTAAAAAAAAATTAAAAAAAAAAAGTATAAATTGTTCAGATAGTTATGCTTTTAGCCTTAAGTATTTTTTTATACATACATAATGTCAGACAATTCTTATATCCGCTGCAGAAAGAATTCTGTACAATGTTGTAGTTAATGAAACTCCGTGCCATTGTGTCTGAAATAATCAGTAAGTATTGTAATTGAAGAAGTCTTCCTAATTGTGATCATGGCCATCTCTCACTACCTCCCAGTGTTCTTTTCTTTTTGATCATCTTATTTGGCTGTTGGCTGACTGGCTTCCAGCCACTGTGTTATTCTTTGGGAATATATGGTTTGTGTCTTCTGTTAAAGGATGGCCAGTCCCGAACAGTGAGGCAGTTCCAGTTCACCGACTGGCCAGAACAAGGAGTGCCAAAGTCTGGAGAAGGATTTATTGACTTCATAGGCCAAGTGCATAAAACAAAAGAGCAGTTTGGTCAGGATGGACCAATCTCTGTTCACTGCAGGTAAGAAAATAAAACCTCAAAGCAACTTGTGCAAAACTTTTTTTCTATTTAATTTGATCGCTGATTACAGTGAAAATGTATATGTAAATAGAAGTTTGTAGGCGAATTATTGGAAGTGTAACCAAATAGGACACATTAAAAAAAGCACAAAGCTTTATGAATTGGGAACTGTTCTGTGATAAAACTCCATTCACACAGAAAAGTTTCATACAAAATATGTAGAAGCATGTAATATGTTGCTACTTTTAAAACCGTCTCTAATGCAGGATAAAAGTGATATCAGTGCTACACTCAAAAAGCAGTAGGAAGGACCTTAATTACTGCATCAGATCTTTTTTCCACTCATAATTAAAAGTCAGACATTTACATTGGTGGAGATTGCTATGTATAAACAATTCCTGAGTATTTCTCCTGACTAAGACTTTAGTAGCAGTCAAGTTGAGCCAGAGAAAAACAGCAGCTACATCAAGACAGTGAATGGAATAGAAAATATTTAGCAGCTTTGCCTGTCAGAAAGTCATTGAGGTTTGGAATGGTGAGTTTAAACTTCAGAATGTCATGCTCATTTTTTAATGTGATGATTTCTCTCAATCCCTCCCTTTACAATTACTATGTAGATGAAAAAAAGCTTGGAGAGTATATAGGAATAATCCAGGGTGGGCTTTTAAAATATTTTTAATATTCTTTAGTAATGTTTTTTATTTACTTTATCTATAGTATTCTAAAGTCTGTAACAGATGGCCAAAAATAATATCTTAAACTTTTATCTCTTATTTAATAAATTGCTTTCTATAAATTCCATTAGGATTTTAGGCACTCATTTTGTAACATTAAATTATTTTTATAGATGAAATGTTATTTTTTATATAGCAGAGATGGAAAGTATTGACATATGTTCCAAATCCTTCCTGCAAGCCAAATAGTGCCCCAATACTAGTATAAGGACAAGAATGACATATACTGAAGCATATGTATGTATAGTGAGTAAGAAATTCTTGTCCTTTCAAAACTGTCAGTGAGCAAAAGTTGTTAAGAGCTCCTGTATGCTTTAAAAGAGATTGCTATGCTCCCCCAACCTGAAAGCCTAACAGATTAATTATAGTAGACAGCTTGAATCCTATTTTTGCTGTTTACCTAATACTTTTTATAGCCTTCTAAGGGGAGCATCATTGCAGATCAGAGACTGGGATTCATTTGGCAAGGGAAGGCGAAATTCAGCCATAACAAGAATTAACCTTATACTTCCTGAAAGAAATAAATTTATAGAGACAAACAAGAATATTTATGCCTCTATGCACAACAAAAAGAGTGAAGAAAGCATATAAAAAAGTGAAGTGAAGGTGTTCTATGTTCTTTTTGCCATGCAAATTTGTCAGTTCATAGCTGAAATGAAGCACTACAGACAGTAAGTTATGGAAACATTCCAAATAGTTGTGATCTTTTGTGCTGAAGTTATGGAGATTTCTAGCATTGATTTTGATAGAAAAGAAGTCACATATAATATAATCATCATGATTTGGTCTTTTATTTATTTATTTTTTTTCATAATCATAATGACAATTTTGAGATCAGCGATGTTAATCATCATTATAAAAGCTAGTCACATCACTTGAATAATAAATATGTCTGGCAAATTAGTGAGTTTATTTATTTATTTATTTTCATGAAGTATAAGATCCAGTCACGTAGTCTATGTGGAATTCTTACAATAATGCCTCCAGTTTGTACTGTAATAAATTCTTAAAAATATGTTCTATAGAGTGAATTTCTTGAAGATACAAATTCCTCTAATGTCAGTTCCCTGTATTTCCCATCCCACTGTACACATTTTTTCTCCAGTTTGCTTTCTGTACAACATAGTAATGCTTAACCCCCGCAATATCTAAACATTCATTTTTGTAAACAGAACAGTATGTTAATATTTAAATTTCTAACTTAATAAGATAGTTAATTAAAAAATTGCGTAAATATCAAAGTATTGTTCACCTTTAAGAAAAATTTTCAACTGAACCAATCTTAAGTATTGACTTGTATGTTCAGAGTTCTTCATCCAAATATTTCTGACTGTGGCATCAACTGTGAGATAATGGGTTGCTTAATTTCCACCCATACAAATTCAGACTTAGAACACAGCTTTCTCTGTGTTCATGCCTCCTTTTCCAAGAGTTCTTATGTGTTTCTTTTTCTCAATTTCACTAATAGGTAATTATTTAAAGCTAGTAACTGGTGATTATTCCCTCTGTTGATTAGAAGATTCTGGGATCTTCCTGGGATTTAGCTAATAAAAGTAATCCAAGGCAAAAAAAAAAAAAAAAAAAAAAAAGCAAGGGTGACATATATTCAAAGAAGAGATTCCAGGCTGGTGTAGACAAACATTGTGTATGTATATCAGTATTTGTATATTAAAGATTCAGACTACAAGACTTGAATAAAGGCAGTCTTGGATTTTCCTTGTTTTGTTATTTAAATTTCAGAGTGTATATGAACAATTTCAATATTACTGAAAGTCCAGTGATTGTCTCTAACTCAATGTAGATCAACTAAAACACTGAAGGTGTACAAAACAGAGGCTGCATATGAATACAGCAAAGAAAGTAGCAAAATACATAATTACATTTTTCTTTTGTTATTTACTGCATAGGTCATTGACAACAAATGCTGTCATTTTCCTTCATCATGCAGTGATAACTATGTGTCTGAATCAATAAACCAAGTCACTTTGCAATGAAGACTGGAAAGTCAGGTGGTTCTTAGTAGCGTGTGAAGCCTTCTTGAGTTCTAAAACCCATGTGGTAATTCACTGTGAAATTTTGCTTAGTGAGCCTTTCCCTCTATAGAAATCTGTACACATGTGATGTGTTTTATCCAGAGATAATTTGTCAGCCACTTTCAGCAACTTCTTTCAGCCACTTCTTGAGAATGGTGAGGTACTGGAACAGGCTGCCCAGAGAAGTTGCGGTGCCCCATCCCTGGAAGTGTTCAAGGCTGGATTGGATGGGTTCCTGGGCAGCCTGGTCTAGTATCAAATGGGGAGGTTGGTGGCCCTGCATGTGGCAGGGGGGTTGGAGATTCATGGTCCTTGAGGTCCCTTCCAACCCTGGCCATTCTGTGATTCTGTGATTCTGTGATTCAGCAATCAATTAACATTCCTTTTCTCCCATCATTTTTCTTCTATTATTGCAAAAGTGCGGGTGTTGGAAGGACTGGAGTATTCATAACTCTGAGTATTGTGTTGGAAAGAATGAGATACGAAGGTGTTGTAGATATCTTCCAGACTGTCAAAATGTTAAGGACACAGCGGCCAGCCATGGTACAGACAGAGGTGAGGAAAACAATCTCTATGTAAAATGTTGATGAAGTAGTATGGATATTTCTGTACACCCAGAAATTCACAGATAGAAATCCCAACATTTGGTTCATTTATATCTTAAGTCATATAGTAACTGTATGAATACAATGCAAAATCTGCTGTGAAGGTATTGCAAAGACTATTTCCTGTTATGGCATTAAACACTGTTGGATGGGGAATCATAGGATAATTTCAGTAATGGAATCTAAATGATCACAGTTCAGGAAAAACATTTTCCCAGAACAAGTATCCATTTTCATTTGAACCTTTCCTCTCTGAAAGAAATGTGAGGTGATAAAGAAGGAAGAAAATTGTCTATGTAGATTGATTCAGTGAAATTTTTATGATGCAAGAACAAAAGGCTTTGGAATGAGGCTGTATTATTTTCACAGTTGACTTTGGATCATCAAGCAATTGACTGTCTGGCTTAAAAATCATGATAGTAAATTGAGCATTGGGAAAGTACAGTGTAGATAGTTTCCATACCAGCAATAATGCTATATGGAAATATGAAGAAGGACATGCAGCATCAACTGATTTTCTATGCCTGGATGCTTGTAATAGTAGCTGTGTCATGTCACAATGAATACTTAAACATTCAGCATGTACTTGATTTCTACTTAAATTTTTGAACGGTAGATTTGAACTAATCAGTAGTCAATAGACTACTCAGCAAAAGGCAAAAAGAAGGGAAGTATAATTAAATAAATTTTTAGATGATTCCCCATGATTTTCCATTAAAAAATTACATCTCTTCAGTCAAAACTAGATTTTATTATTTTTAAGAAGAAACGTATATGTTAAGAAGAAATACATATATGACAATACAGATATTTATCTTAAGTCTTGTCAGTCAAGTGTATTATTGTTACCAAGCTGACTTGTTAATTCAATTTATGTCTCTTTATTACTATTATTCTGAATAAACAAGAAGAAAACTAACTATTTGCTGTCATTTTAGTTCCAAGAAATCACTACAGGATACTAAAAAGCTGTGCTTCTTGAAGCCAACTTGACAAGCATTCTTGGGCTGTATATATTATCCCTCCTACTTTGATTTTGTTTTCTGTATGCCACCCTTCAACCTCTCTGCTGAAAATAGGTGCTAAGTGCTCATAAATTTTAGGATTCTGTGGAAGATAAATCTCTCATTCAGTATTATAAAGTGCCAATAAATTTATTCTTTATTCAACAAGGCAATTATATTCCAGATTTACTTAAAATTTAGGAGAACATCTAATGTATTCTTCAGAGTTCCAACACATGACAGAAATGATCACATCGCTAAATGGAAACAAAGTCTAACACATTTCCTGGTCACTAAAAGAATTTTAATTGTGATATTAACAAGTACAGCCATGTGAGCATGTAGTACTATCAGATAAGTAAGAAGGATATTGGATTCATTAGAAATTTAATCAAATTGTACACCCCATTGAACTTTCTCTGCTTCCAGGTACTGGTTGAAATGCAATGTGTTTCATGTTAATAAGGTGTTTAGCTACATATACCTCCCATATTCCCTGTTCTTGCCACAGGGTAAGGAATCTTCACACCATCATCAAAGCTTGTAGTGCTGAAAGGTTCTCCTTGCTTCCTAATCCGCCTTTTAACTTGGCAGTTTTTTGTGTTCCGTTCAGTATTAAGGCTGTGGTAAATTTTGGCATTTAGCATGATATATTTGCTATGAAGTGAAATGGCTGTTTTCCTACTTATTTTCAAATAAATGGGAAAAGACATCCTAGCATGCTTCCATAAGAAGATACTTTTATGATTGTATTAATTCACTTTAGCAATTCTGAATAAATGGTTATACAGTTTCTGCTCCAAAAGAAGATGCTATTGAAACTGTTATTGTGTTAAATGAGTGTCTGTCTTCATCTGTTGTAACTCAAACTGCTCTATATGGATGCTAGCTAGAGAATATTGCTGAACTATAAATGCTTCTGCAGTATATTCATCTATAACCACAGAGTGTTTATTCTTAGTTGAAAGAAAATAGAAACCAACCAGCAAGATGGCTTTTTGATGCTTCGTTTTCTATCTTTCTATCTCCAGGATCAGTATCAATTCTGCTATCGAGCCGCACTGGAATATCTGGGCAGCTTCGATCACTATGCAACATAAAAACCCATCCTGGATTTTTATTGCAGGCCCTTCAAGATCCAGAGAGCCGCTTCTGAGCCATACAATGTGCTTTAGAAGTACTTCTTAGCTCTTAGCTATGGAGCAATTATTGGGGATATATAAAATAAATTAAAAAAAAAAAAAAAATGGGGATATTTAAAAACAAAACAGACCCAACAATTCCATGTGGACCAAGAATTCACAGTTTAATAACCTAACCATAATAAAAGAATCCTGACCACTGAGGCGTCTGAAGGATCTCATTTACAGATACCTCAAGGGTTCAACATTATTTGAAGTCAAAGGGAAGAGGAAATAGTTGGAAAGAGCAACCATCTTGTTTAGGCCTGCATGCCTTTTGCAAAGAGGAATTCTGAGAACTGCAATTCAGCACAAGATATTTGTCGAAAGGTCAGGACCTGGCTTCAAGACAAAGCAGACTCTTTACTTCAACAGTACCCCTTCCCATCGTATTGCTCATGATAACACTTTAGAGAAAATGTGAGAATGTTTAAAAAGAAAGTCCTTGATTTAGTTTTTTAGTATTGTAAAGATACTGCTGACCTGTGCTTCATTTTTAACTGTGTAAACTTTTTCCTTTTTTTAACAAGAGTTTATCATTCAATGAAGTGAATTAAAGAAAAGGTTGCATAACTGTTAATTTTTTTTTGTTTAAAAACTGTAATTTTTTTTTAATCTGTAGAACTCTTATCTGTAATATTGTGCTGTAGAATGTTAAATAATTTGAAAATTTGCACATTATTGTGCAGTTCTGTATTTATCTACAGTACTATAGTCTTGTTAGACATTATTTTACATTTCTGTTTGTTTTAGTTTTCTTTAAGAAAATAGTCATTGTAATCAGTTAAATCAAAATGGGACTTTTTGTTTCTTTTGGAATCAACAGGGAGGCGCAAAGTATAAAGATGCTGCTACCACACACGCACACATTCACGCATACACATGTACATGCACATGCACACCCATAACCTGTCTCTTTCTATATATATGTGTACTTATTACTGTCAATCCTTATCTGGCTCTCTGTAGTTACAGAGATACAGAGAGGTAGATATACACACACACATACACACACAAACATACTGGTTCTTCCACAACCTGGATTTATCAAAGCATTTGAAAAATTTCTCAACATACTGCAATTACATTATACCAGTATTTAGTCACCTCTGCATTTCCAAGATCCATAAACTTATTTTCTAGGGGAAGTGAGGAATGCACATCACTGATATTTGAACATCATCTCTATACCAAACAGTATTTCTCTCCACACTGCATAGATATCACACATGTACACACATGTATACACAAGCATATTTATGCACACACGCACACAGAATATGTGATTTAGGCTTCCAGTGAAGTTCAATATTTGTAACACTATAGTGCAATAAGAAATCATATTATTAAATGTTAGGAGGTGTGCATGTGGGAAAGATCAGTGCATATCCCTTTAGGAGGGGAGAATGTTGTAATATAGTAGATATTAAGATGTTTTAAAATTGTATTCAATAACAATGTCTATAGTGTGCGCTATATCATTTACATTTATTGTATGTAACAGGGCAAAGACAAACACACATTGCTCTGTGAAATCAAAAGTTTTGTGGCATACAGTGTTGTTTGGGGATGCTGATTTTTATTTTAATTTTACATTTAGAGTGCCTTATATTTGATGCCTGTTTTGAATAGCATTTATTTAAGTTAGCCTTCATTTGTATTTAGTTCAGTTTATTCATATATGTTATTCTTTTCAAAACATTTTAATACATGTATCAGACGATTTTGAATAATATGCATTCCCAGTTTCTATTCAAGTATGGTTGATAATAAATGATAACCCAAAACATGTAGGTATTCAAGGCCCTGTATATTTTCATATTTCCAATAGATAGCCAGTCTACAACTTAAATACCTTTTTCTGGTTGACCCATGATGTCACTAATCATAGTGTTATCATTACAGAGATGTAGCAGTACCCTGGCAGTTGTCAACATTAGCAGTGCTAACACCCATATTATTGTTTTGAGTTGGGGCAACTCCTACTTATTCCGTTGTGTCAATAGATTGCTAAAGTGAAACCATTCCTTTCATTAAGGCTAGCAAGATTAAACTGGAAGAATTTATTTGAGAATGGTGCTGCATTTTCTTCCACAGGACAAAGAAAATTCTTTAAGTAGCAGAAAGTACTTCTTAACATCCTTAATATGATGCCATTTACATTGACCTTGGTTTCCATTGTGTCTTGGGCTGTCATCAGTACATGCGTATCAAAGGATTTCTGTGGAGCATTGGTATGGCTTGTGACCTCATCTTTTCTTCTTCCACATTTTCCACTACTAGTAGACTGAAAAATATGGAAGATTAAATTCTAGTAAGCATTATATTTGAGCACTTTTGTAAGAAAACACACACGCACGCACACACACACACACATATATATGAAACAGAATTATATAGAAGGCTACCTCAGAATGAGACTCTGTAACTTACATCTGAACCAGAGAAGAATGTGCACTCTGTTTCTTTCTCTTCTTTATTTGTACTTTCAACTAATTATTGAAGTGCCAGTTTATGTGGTGTCGTCATGTACTTTGGATTAGATCAGAACAAACATAAAAATAATTAAAAAAGCATAATTTTGGAAACAACTAGGGAATATCCTTGCACATTGGAGCTCTAAAGAAACTGAAATAACAAAAGAAAAAAAAAAAAGGTAAGAAAAAAGTAAGGGAAATTGTACAACTAGATTTTTCTTTTAGTTTTTGTATTCTTAAGATAACTTTTGAATCATTGATGTGCATTCCACTTTATATAATCCTATATATTGGCATTCTTCAATTAATTTAAATTGTGAGCATCTTTGCCTACATACATCATACATTTCCAAGCTTAGAATTGGCTTCATCAGCATAACCAGTATGGTGCTATTTTTGTTTGTATGTGTAGTTATGTCTTATTTTGTGATAAGTTGCATTGCAGAAAAAAAAAAGAAAAAAAAAAATAAGGCAAAATGTTTGAAAAGGATTTAAGTTTAATTTAGCTCTTTTTAAAAACAGACTTCAGTTGTTAGAAAATGGACAGGAAAGCTGGGGAAAGGGAGAGGCCCTCTAGGGAGATTTGCACTTTCTATACCTTTGTACTATGCACTGCCCTATTGATTCTATACTCAACAATATTATTACTTGAACCCATCTATAAAAAAATGCTTATAAAATCCACTGGTGTTATATTTAAATGACACAGAACATGTTAAAAGGAAAAAAAAAAATGCCTGCAGTGACAAGGAAATGCAATTACATTTTTTTTCCTTTTATTCTTTCTTAGTTTTCTTTTTTTTTTCTGTTTTCCTTTTTTTCTTCTTCTTCTTGTATTTTTTTTCTTTTTTTTTTTGTTTTTGTTTTTGTTTTCATTTAAGGTTTTTTTTGGTGCCCTGATACTTCACAGATATCAGGAGACTACAGGTCTCGTCATAACCATCTGTTAACGTGGCTTTGCCATTCAAGCTTGGAGTGTCTTTACAAAGAAAATTAAAAAAAAAAATGTGTTCTTTGCTCTTGTTTTGGATGCATAGACTGAAAAATTAAAAAAAAAAAAATTACCTTGTAAAATGGCTTGTTAAAAAAATACAATTACCTCTAATTAGTAGTACGCGTAAATGTTTTACAGAATGAAAGGCGTGCTTTTTATTTTCTTACTTCGTTACATTGGTGGCGAAAGAAAGTCTGTATGAAAATCAGTTCTTTGCTGACACAAGTTCCATTTGTTACAAATGAATTCTAATAAAATGTCAGTGTTATGCAGCCCTGGTCTTCTTTCTTAAGGAGTACTTTTGAAATCAACACTTCTTTGGTCACCCTTTGTGATAAAAAATTTAATTGGAACTACAAAGTAGTCATTAATCATAGCTACTAGCTGGACAGTGGAGAGTGCATTCCTACATTAGCAAATGTGTTGTCTTCAACACCAAATTTTGAGCCATTGTAGACAAAATCTTTCTTTGTCATATGAATTTCAGTGAAATTATCACACTTTGCATACCTAAGAATTCCTGTATGTACTTTACAAATGTATCATTACATTAAGAAAACAGACTATTGTCCAATCGCAATTCAAGTCACAGAATTAATATATCCCATATTTGTCAGTTTGTGACACTACAGTGTTCCAAAATGTTTTCAAAAACTATGAAAAAGTTTTAGATTAAAGTTACATATTTTGAGTTAGGTTGCAAGTGGCATGGCATGAAAATCCAGTCAAGGAAATAGAAAGGAGTCTTACTCTGCTTGCTTTGAAAGAGAGCTCTATCCCTAACATTGCTTTGTTACTATGGAAACACAGCCTACTAGCCATTCTTATGAAATACATGTTAATATAGAATGTTAATTGTCAATAAAGAATACTCTATTCAAGAAAGATGTGCAAAGGCATTGTTATACTGTTTTCTAGTATCTTGCATTGTTCTTAGCATAGCTTCCACATTAAGGTGGTATTAGTTTAAAAGCAAAAAAAGTTTATCAAGATCTTTTTCCACTGACTTCTGTGGACTTCACAATTACTTCACAGACTACCTTCAGCTTGAACATATTTTACATGACCAGTACAAGGTGGTTAAAAGTTGTAGTATGCAAGGTTTATTTAGATGGCTGGCTTTAGAGGGTTCCCTTTAATGTCAGCATTGATTTCTTTGGATTTTGCTATTCTGTGCATCCAGCATGAGCCAAAACAAAATGAAAAGATCTAATATTGACAAAAAGATTTGACTATGTATGGATTAGTTCCATTTAAGTTAATGGATTTTAACAAGACTATCTTTAATTCATGTTTTCTTCACATAGAAAAAATATTTCTATGACAGATATCTTGAAATCATTAAAGTTAAGAAAAGCTGTAGAGATGTGAAATTATCCTCTATTAAAGGAAAACAGTATACACAGACTTTTGAACATAATAGTATTTGCATATCATGCAAACAAGTGAACCAAATTCCTAATTTCCCAGAATCTTATAAGACAAGATTTCAACCTGAAGTATTTTTTATCCCATTGCCTTTTTCTCCCATTCTGTGTGAAATTAAGATAAAAGTGAACTACTGATAAATACATAGGAAGTCTAATGTAACAGACTAGTAGTCTTAGAAACTAAATGTAACCATCACTGGTTAAGAAAGGGACAGAAAAGTTGATAGAAATCACAAGGTCCTTTTTGCTTCAAGTGCGAATATGAGCCTTTTCTCCAACTTTATAAGCAGGATGATCTTAAATTATTATTCTGAAATGTTTGTGAGGTTTTTTTGTTTTGTTTTGCTTTGAAAGTAAATTTGCTGATCTATAAGCCGGCATATCAGTGATAATGGAATCGTTCTTTAATAATAATTAATATCTATATCTGTACCTATATAATCTATATCAATTTCGTATCTACATCATCTATATCATCATCTGTATCTGTGTCATTTATATTGTCATTGATGTCTATATCATATATATCTATATAACACTATATAACCTGTGCAAAAAGTTTTGATACTTTAAAATTTAGCATTCTCAGACAATCAAACTTTGATAATAGCACAGGATCAAATTGGTAAATGAATACAATCAAACTGTATCAATATTGCACTGCCAAAGAATATCTTTAGAAGCAGTTTCACAGGTGTGAACTAATGGTACTTTTTTTTTTTACTCTGGCACTGTACATGATGA